CGGCATAAGTTTCTAAGTATTTTGAGTGCAAAATATACACAAGTACATGACCTTTAAATACCACTTTATTCACTAAAAACCTTGAAAATAAAACATTATTCTGATGAATAAAGTGTTGGTCATGTCATTCTCACAATCAAAAAATCTAAAGGCACACAATACACGTGACACGACATGGATTCAAAAGGAATCGAGCATGAAAATCTATGAATGAAGCGCTTGTGTGCGGTAAAGTCATTCTTTCAGCGTCCGCTAGATGGCCCCAGTATGCGGCGAAGATATTCGACAAGTTTACAGCTCCGCCGGAAGACTGCGCGCCCTTTTATCCCTTCATGCTCCTGCATTTGAAGCCCTAGGGGGTCGATTTGCCTTCATTTTCTCAAATAACAAAATTTAAAGAATATGTCTTCACTGGTATTATTTACTGCAAATTCATCGGAATCATCATCGCCGAATTTTCCTCGAGAATTGAGTGCATCTATCCTATAATCTAAGTGCATTCCACAGTTATTATTATTGAGCCCTGCATTAAAATTTGAAATTTTTAGTTAATCTATTTTTCATCAAGTTTCTAATTTTTAAATTAGAAAGTCAAATTGACATGCAATCTAATTGCTCTTAGGGAAAATGTATATGCATGGTAAGTTGTGTTTGTACTGCATTCTTCATCAAAGAGTCACTGTTTCAGCTCAATTTAGAAACAACATATGCGCACTAGCAGTTTTTCCAAGCAGACGAACGCTTTCATGGATGAGCCAGAAATGTTGGCTCCAACTTGCAAAATGACCATTTGGCGTTTGATATAATCGTTCGGGATATCACCTGCAGTGAGGGTTGGAAAAATTGTTCGTCACTTTTGATGAACGGAATATTTTTACACTATTTAAGAGAAAATGATCATACCTGCTTTAAAATTATCGATTTCATAGTGCCAACATGTATATAATGCGAGATTGAATAAAATAATAAGAAAAATTGATACCTTCCTTATGGATCCATTTAAGAATTTTTCAACAATTATTTCACTGCTCTAGAAAAATTAACAAGGGGCCGTAAATAATGCTTAAATTTTGACATCGTTAAATGGTCCATTTAGCAGAAAAATTATACGCAAGCAGGGCGACTCTTCTGATGAGTGATAAGGGGGTCAGAAACATGAATTTCTAAGTCAAGTTGGCATCGCTGCTTCAACTGCAGTACAATTTGATTCACGCGGTGAAACTTTCAGTACTGCCCTCACGTAGAACTAATTTAAGCACTGCTGATATCACTATTTTGCAGAAGTTCGAAGCTCATCGCAGTACAGGAGCTAATCGCAGATCAATGAAGGAGTTTTTAATTATATTTTGCTTTACTTTTCACGGTCTATTAGATGATGATAAAAAAGGCATGTGTTAACATCAAAACAAGTACCCAATCGGAAATTTGACCTTGGTACAAGCTTAGTATGACATTTTTTCACATTTGAATAGAGTTGCCAAGCTTATCTTGCTAATGTTCCCACAATGTTAGCAGGACATTTATTTTACCTCTGGGACAAGCTTGAGCCCAAAGATTGTGCCAAGGTTAGGTTTGTAAGACTGCTCCAAGCCTATCCTGACAATATTGCCACAATATTGGTGGGACATTATTTTACTTCCGAGACAAACTTGGATATTCAATATTAAGACAACGTTATGTCAATAATATTGCTCCAAGCTTGTTTAGCTGATATTGTGATCATGATGTTGCCATAGACTTGATGTTAAAATATTGCCATAGTATTGGCAGGATATTTATTTTACCTCTGAGACAAGCTTGGATTTCCAATTTTACTTCTGAGGCAAGGTGGGCGATAGAACGCCGTATTACCTGCCGTCCTCGCGGAAGATATTTCATAGCGTCGCAATGCCTAATGTAGGCATACGGATCATTGGAGAGCCGATGAACCTTCCTAAGTCAGCTACTTTCTTGGCTGCTTGCACTGGTTGAAGTATTCTACTCGGATCCCACTTGTAACGGGCACTGCCCAGGCGAAACGAGAACCAGCCCCATTGACGGGGCGGCCGCGCGCGGACCGTTGCCAAAAAGCTCAATTTGAGCCCTTGGCCTAAGAATATCGGTAAGATGGGTTAGACGCCTATGGATCATGTGCCTATTACGTCAAAAAGCGAAAGGTCGCAGTTTTTGCCCTTTAATTTGCCCTTAAAGGGACCGCAACGGCATATCCGCGGCGAGCGCGCCCTGGTGGCGGAAATAGCAAACGCGGTCGAATTGTGCTCGCCGCGCACAATATTGTGTTAATCTTATGACAATATAAGAAACAGAAGCCTAAAATGTTTATTTTCTTAATCTTGTGACAACGTTAAAGTGCGAATATTACCACAATGTTGTAAAAATAATGTTAGCTTAATATCAATTCAGCAGATTTAGATATCCAATATTGTGTCAATATTATGACAATATTACGAACATAAGCCTGTTATGTTTGTTGTTCTAACGTTAATTGAATGTTAACATAATAACAATACCGCAGTATCACAGAGATAACATCGTCTCGATATTATTTTAGCAATTTTGTTTTCCTAATATTGTGTCAATATTGTGTCAATATTATAAGCAGAAGCCTATGTTCAGTATTTTTTTAACAATGTGCCAATGTTAAAACTAACATATTACTGCAATATTGAAAACATAACTCTATGACAGTATTAGTTTACCAATATTGTATAACCAATATTGTGACAACATTGTGACAATCTTGGAATCACCGAGCATCACCTGACCTTGGATTTCTAATGTTGCTAATATTGGTGCAATATTAAAATACTAAGGTTATATATCCAGTATTGATGGTATATTGTACCAAGATTCTCAGGCCAACCTTACTGTTGAAATATGCTCACAGTCTCGCTAAGGTTGCCACAATATTATTCCGATCTGCCCAAGGTCAAATTTCCGATTGGGTAGAACAATAATCATTGAAAGGGTTGGAGGACAAAAAACATAGTCGCAGTCTCTGAGAAATTGAGTTATCAGCGAGTTTAACTAAAACTAGTCTTGAAATATATAGTATGAAAAATTCACAAGTAAAACTCAATTTTTAATTAATAAAAAGTTAGATTGAACTTTTCCCCCTCCTAAAAGCTCCATGTAATTTTGAAAATATAATCGCGTATTCCTTGAAATAGCAAGATTTGTACTTATGCCCCTTGTCCTTCAAGCCCCTCCATTGGAGTTGTTTAACTTTTCCACATGTCTTTAGTTCCCATTCTTCAGATATTAAAAACGATTTGAATCCAGGGCCGGATTACGGGGGTGGCCACATGCGCCGCGGCCCATGGCGGCAAATCTAGGGGGCGGCAAATTTTGCAACTTTTTTAAATGTAGATATAAAAAAAAATCTGATTTAGAAAAAAAATATTACAAACGAGAAAAGCCTACAAAATATCTCATCTCCTGAGAGTACAGTAATTTCTAATTTTGTCGTCTTTCAGTGATACAAGAGACAGTACATTTAATTAGTCGGGTTGAAGAGAGAAACCAAACACACAATTTGGCCTGGAACGGCGCGACTTAAGGAGAAATGATGACGAGGACTTGAGATGAAAAGGAGAAGCCCTCGGCACGGCAATCAGCATGTAACACATATTAGCGCCTACAAGAATGCATGAATACTTCACGCATTGCGGCAAACACAGTGCGATCAGCGTGAGACGCATAGCGCCGACTAGACTGCGTGAATACCTCACGCATTGCGTCAAACACAGTGCGGTCTGCGAGGCGCGGCGGCGGAAGTTAAAATCATTGAACCAAATTTTGTGTTTGTTCTTTCATAATTTTTTCGTTCATTTCTTATGAATGGAAGGTCTTGTCCACACAGCAGAGATAGGTTTACGAAACTTGACTTTCGCGCAAAGTTCCGTGACCTTTTGCTTGTAGTTTTGACAGGGCTTTCCCAAAAAATGTGTTCAACACGAGTAAACGCTCTCATGCACCCCTCCCCCGCTGGCACGTTCACTTACTTGATGGTTTTTATTGATTTTTCAAAACGAATGAGAAGGGGGCGGCAAAATACAGGCGGCTCATGGGCGGCAAGTAGGAAAATCCGGCCCTGTTTGAATCATTTGAAATATTTAAACTCAAGTCTTGAGCATTTGTTTTGCGGATGAATATAATATTAATAAGTATTTTCTGTTGTTAATTGATTAGAAATCAGCTATTATTTTCAATGAATGAAAATGAAAATGTTTCAATGAAAATGTTGCCAAATGCCTTGGGTCGATTTTTTGCAACTTTTTAGATTTACATCAGGTGCAGGACAGCAATTTGTTTCTCGTATGATGGAATAGCGTCGTAGAATATGTACACAGTAAGTTCTAAACGTATATCCTGTTACTCTTCTAAAGGAATAATAAGTCAAAAATAGAGGTTTTAAAAACAATTTTACGGTACCTACAATAATTTGAATTTAACATTATATGCGCACAGCATCGGAATATATTTGTCTCCACTGAAACAACGAAAAAAGTATCTTTTCGGAGGGGACGGATTTATTGCCACATGATAAATGTGATTAAAAATTACGATTTTTAATATTTCCAATGTTATATTGTATCACACTGACACGCATTTTGTTCGTTTGCCCCCCTCCCCTCCTCAAATCCCAGTCAAAACAGCTGTCACCAGTTTGTAAAATTAGACTATATTATACAAATTGAAGGAATGAGAGCCAGGATGACTTGATTTCATTGGAATGTATCAAAATTCGGTTAACGCTTGATCAATTGATACTCAGGAATGGTGTAAATTTGCCTCAAAAGTTCTCATAAATTTTCTCTATGCTCAGAGAAAGATTTTCTAACATTCTGTACCCAAAACACACAAATCTTAATATTAAATATGTTCATGAATGAAGAAATTAGGTTTTAGGGGAAACTTTGCAACGTTGCAATGCATTAAAGCCCTCCTGGCTCTCAGCTTCTCAGTAAATGGTCAATGTCGAAGGAAAAATAACTCACCTTTCTGCCCAAAACGTAAAGTTGATTAGGATCCGAAACCGGAGCGATGGAACTCGGAAGACCTAAACGAAAACCTTTTGAGCGTATCCAGAAGCGAAACTTGGAATTCTCCGCACAGTTGGGGATTAAACCAAGCAAAGTCCGCACGATCCTATCGTATTTTTTCAGGGAGACCGTCTTAGTCTTAGTGAAGTCTCCGTACGTTTTGATTACCCAAGGTTGGTACACCTTGAACATGGCTGCCTTCTCGCTATTTATCTCAGAATCGAACGGCAATACCTCATGTTTCGCTCCTAAACTTTCAACATCCAAGCTCTCTGTTTCTGCTGAAACTAGCTCATCTCCACACACTCTATCTACACCAGTCTCTCCTCGCTTTTTGGGGCTGATGGGTGATTTACTCCTATGGGAAGTCGGGTCTACATCTCGATCACAGCTGTCGTTATCTGATTTCTCGTCTTCTGAATCAATAGGGAGGCTTTGCTTCGAGTCATGGTCGAAAAATATCTCATCTTTTATCTCATCCTTTTTGGGCTTTTGATTTTGATCAGCATGAGTCTCGAAGATTAATTCTTTATTATTGTTAGTATTGCTTATCAAACACAGTGGCTCATTCGAATCCATTTTGAATTATTTAAAATCTTCTCTATTGAAAATGCAAATTTCTCATTTTTCAATTTAACCAAACATGAGAACGTGTTCCCCCATTTTGCGCACGTTTCCACATTTAACTCACTAGATGTCACTCTCAGCTCATTCACTCAATTCTACGAGTCTCGTTTTTAAAACTTCAGCAATACGAAGAAACAAATCATGGACCATAATTTTTTTCCATGTGAGCAATTATCATTTGGGCAGGGTAAGTAAAAATAAAAATAAAAATAATAAATAGTAAATAAAACTTAAGATTGAAAGGGAGCACTGGCAAAAAAGAGGGACAACTAACTGTACAAATAATACCAAACACCTTTGTCCACACAGGATTAATCAGTGCTAAACTTAATCAAGCTTCAGGGAAAATCGAATCGTTAAATGGGACCTTCAAGTAATTCATAAGGCAGCCATTTTACATTAAAAATTTGAGCCTATTCGTGCGAACTATTTGCTTGGAAAAATCCAAAAATTAAAATAAAAGAGAAATTTAAAAGTAGCAAAAAAAAGGAAAACGAAAAAAAAGCATGCACACTCCACAACCAAGAATCACTGTAAAAATATAAACACGATATCGCAAAGAAAAACTTAAATTTTTAATTATTAATCTATGAAAGGTCTTTAGTATTTCAAAAATTATTTAAAAAGTGTCGGTTTGAAAACCACTAAAATTATCAAAACCAAATGGTGAAGCAATGAAAAATAGTCGGCGATGTTGTTGCGCGCACAAGCGTCACTCCAAAAAAATGTATCAAAAAGTGAGGTTAGTTTTTTTTTAAAAAAAAAACAAAAGATAGCGCGATTAAATCCGTCCGAAATAGAGTTACTCCGAGGCGGAACGCACGGTCGGAAGAGGAAGTCAGCGATTCGGCATGTTCTCCAAGAAACAGTAAATCGCAAACTGACCTCTGTTCCTCAATTAAAAAAAATATATATCCGAATTGATAAGTTCTAGACCCGTCCGCGTCTTAGACGGGGACGGGGGATGAGGGGATGCTCAGGGGTGAAAGAGGACGAGACGATGGTCCAGCGGAGAGACAGGGATGGAGCTAGAAACAGGTTTCTTGATTTTGAGTTGACCAATTAATTGCGAGATTTTGATAAGGGTCGACCCCTACCCCTTTCCAGAATCCTTCACCCCTCCCTTTCGCCTCTGAAGACGCGCTCAGGCTCCGATGTTAAAAGGACACCAGGTATCTACAAACAGAATACCGAGGTGGTCTTGCGTTAATAGCTTTCAACCGCCGCCGGCCGCCCTTGAGTGCTGCAATGGCGCTCGTGCAATCTTGCATTCGGATACGCGGCGAAGATTATACTCCGGACGGGAGTGCCTGCACTTTGTAAATCCGGTTCGGCCTTGAACGACAGGATAGCGTTTCTCTCGCCGTGATGTTTTCTTGAAATTTTTTCGTTCGATTTTCGTAAACGATATTTTTGGCGGGCGCTGTTGTCGTAGTCCTAGCCGGGGGGGGGGGGGGGGTGGTGGCCGGCAGTCTACGATGATTCTCCCAAACCACGTATCTCATTTGCGGTGTTTGAAAAAAGATCCCTGCTCCTGTTTTACTTTGTTTTAAGGAGAAAAAAAATCAACACCTCCTTAAAGTTTTCTCAGAATTTGCCTCTCACAGTGAAGAGATTACGGAAGTTTTTAAGTTTTTAAGAATGCACTGGAAAAAAAAAAAAAAAACCACTTTGGATCTAGAGTCCAGACTCTTGAAAACATTGGCAAGAAAAAATACTCTTGATTCAATCGGATTTTTGCTTGAATCAAAACGGAATCCGCTTAAATTAAGAGACTTGGTTCTTGATTTAAGTTAGATTCTGATAGAATCAAGAGTACTTTTTCTTGCCGATGTTTTTAAGAGTCTGGACTCTAGATCTAATGTGTTTTTTTCCAGTGTGGGCATTGAGTTGTTCTTAATTTAAAAAATAAAGTTTAATAGAGAGTCTGCAACGTCGCAAACCGAGAGGCATGGTTTGGTAGTTTCAGCTTCGATGTGCTGGGTAGCTGAACTTATCCTCAGGCATCGCTTTGCCACGTCAACTTCACTGTCGGCTTTTGATTGGTCTAATTCGTTATGATACCTTTCTTTCCCCTCAGTAACAATTTTTTCAAACTCTAAATTTTTTGTTTCTATTTTGGTTTTTTACAAAATTTATCAGTGGCGTGGCGTGCTTTACGATATATCGATTGTTCTGCCATTTAAACCTATGGAGAAGGATCGATAAACAGAGTGGTCGTAGCGAACACCTTAATGATCGATTCTTTACCATAGGTTTAAATGGCATAACAATCGATACATCGCAATTCACGCCACGCCACTGAAATTTATGGAAAGGAAAACAGTAAAATTGCATCACAAAAATTCCTTGCCACTGCCCCACTGAATATACCCATTCGTTCGAGTGAAAATTCCGAAGAGAACTTTTCTTATCAACATTGAACATAACATAAAGAATGGAAGAATGTGTGCACACCTACCGAAGTAGCATTTTTCAAGGGAAAAATCGCGATTTATTGCGATTTTGTCGGCAATGAAATCGCTAAGATCATCAACCTCTGAGAGATTATCCTCGATCTTGTCGCAATAAAATCGCGATTTTATCGCCCGGCAATTTATCGCAATATTATCGCAACAAAAATCGCGATATAAGGCGATTTAATCTCGATTTTATCGTCGAAAATTGATCGCGATTTCATTGAACAGAAATTGCGATGCATAGCGATTTAATCACCATCAGATCAATCGATTCATTGCAAAGTACGCCGCGCCACTGGTAGACTTTAAAAAAAAAGAGAGAGGAAAAAATGAAAAAAGAGCCAAAATATGATTATATCCTTCAATGATTACATATTTCGACGAAATCCTCGTCATCGGTTCATTTCAACGTAGGCGGAATATCAAACAGCAATGCCAAATAAATGCTAGGTTTCACGCCTCTCAGAATATTTGTTTCTTCAAGAGTAGAGACTAACAAGACATATTTCCTTCCTTATATTTCATCAAGAACTGTAAGAGAAAAAAGGGGAGGGTAGCGGAAACTAAATATAAACAAGCGGGAAATTCAAAAAAAAAAGCGAGAGGCAAAAAAAAGTTCAACAAGACGGACCTCACGGTTGACTGGAACGGAGGCAGGGGGAAGTCCGATCGAGAAACGCCGTTAAAAGCTTTCATGTCTTTTTGCTCGTCTCTCCTCGCGGACTGCATTGTAAATTAGAAGGAGTAAAAAAGCTTATAGAACAAGGTTGCAGGAAAGAAGTCCCGTGCAGGGCCTGTCAACGTGGCGGAAGGAGAGGGGAAGGGTACGGGACGGGTACAACGGCGAGACCGGGGATGGGGGGACGGACTTGCTGGATCGGCCGAAAGCGATGGGTTTTAATTTGCTGCCCATGCCTATTCTGCAACTTCCCCTCCCAAGGTGAGCGTCTTCCCATTGCCCCAAGACGCCATTTTGATCACTAATTCCCCCTCCCCGGGGCGAGGAGGCCCTCTTCTCATTCGGGAACCGAAAAACGGTTTCGGCCTTCGGACCGTTTGCTTGCACTTTGCACCCCTTTAGCCCGAACGGGGGCACTTGAATAAGGGTGTTCCACGTGCGGCAATGCAAATATTCTTCCGCGATTAACTGCAAGGGATAATCCACCCTCACTCCGCTATATCTCCGCACAACAATGAACTGTCAGGTTTCTTTCTTCTTCCTCCGTCTCTTGAAACTGCATTCTGGGTGATTTATCACCTCGATTCCCTGCAAATTGTCGGCCGGAGACGTCTGCATCTTCGCGCACTTCAAAAAGAGTGGGAGCTTTTATTTATACAAGTGGTAAGATGAATGCGTTGCGCTGCCGCCCCGGGCGTCTCCAAAAATCATGAAAGAAACTTTATTTACATTTGAATATCCTGCCGAGCTCCGTTCGAGCCGAACTGTAAGGGAGCAGGACATTAAAATCATCTAAATTATTAAAGTAGAATTTTTCATAAAATTAAACACGTATGTTTTTTGAGGCTGCTCTAAGTGCAAACTCAAATCTCAGATTTCTTAAAATTAAATTAAATCAACCTGTAGAGTAAGGCAAAAAAGGAACCGAGAAAGTCTCAAAATTGCATTTAAGTACTTTGCTTTTGCGTTGCAAACATTTTAAACTTAATGTTTTTCTTTCTTTTCAAAAACAGACAATTTTTAAAGAAAAGTGACTTCATTAAATATGTGTAAAAACTTCGGCAGTAAAAGAGCACACACAAATTTTTTTATTATATCATGATTATCATAATCATCATGGTTAGTGATGAACAATGGGTATATTAAAAATGTATACAAACGTTTACACAAGTTAAAACACTCACGAGCACGTCAGTCTTCTTCGTCTTTAAAATCTTCAAATTTGACTTGCGCGTGCGTGTTTAAGTCTTTCAGATTTTAAAGAAGTTTGTGTGCGATGTTTCCTGATATTTTTAATCATTTATAGATGTACAAACATATTCTCGGAGAACCCTCCCCGCTTACCTCCGGGAAAAGCAACAAATAAAAAATTAAGAGAAAGAGAGGGGATAAGAAGGAGAGAGTATCTAGTCTACTCTATTGTCAAAGTATCATTGACTTGCTAAAGCTATGTTTTGGGACTTTTAAAGGGTACATAAAACTTACTTAGCAAGGTTATCTTGAAGTTCTGCTGCTCTTGAGTTTCCCTTCCGTCGTTTTTCAGGCTTGAGGAAACATATTAATCGCCCGAATAACCCTAAAAATAATCGTATGGCGTGAAAGAAAAAAGAGGTGAAAGGAATTCATGAAACATTCAATAATTCATTTCCCGCTGAGAATAGCCGCACCGCGCTGGATGCTTCGGAAATTCCCAGAGCATATTTTTTGTGCTTTTCGCCGAGTCAAAAAGGGCAAATGCGGTCACCCGTGTAATACGCACGGTTTTCTTTTATTTTCTTACCATTAAAAAGCTACATATATTTGAAATTTTGTATGGTTTTTTAGGCTGCTATTTGTTTTCCTGAACTGAAACTAAAGTCAATAATTTGGCCAATCCGGTTTTCACTAGTATTGCACTGGAAAGAAAAAAAAAAAAAAAAAAAAAAAAAAAAAAAACATTGGATCTAGAGTTCAGACTCTTAAAACATTGATAAGAAAAAATACTCTTGATTCAAACAGATTTAAGCTTAAATCAAAAGGTAATCCGCTCAAATTAAGAGGCTTGGTTCTCGATCTAAGCAATAATCCGATTGAATCAAGAGTATTTTTTCTTGTCAATGTTTTTAAGAGTCTGGACTCTAGATCCAATGTGTTTTTTTCCAGTGTGGTGTACTTACTTATACCATGTGACGATAATAATTCAGTACCTATTAAATCCAAGATGTATTTGATAAGCAACTCCCTTTTATTTTTCGTGTTAAGTGCTGTAATCAAGTGTATGAACCAGAAATAATTCCCTGAATA